TAAAGAGTGCTGAAGAGCCACGGAGAGAGGAGAAAGTGGAGGGCTGTTCCTTATGCACCTGAAGTTAGAGGAGGGTGTGGCCTTAATGGGTGCTGGTGGCCACCAGTGATGGGCGAGCCATCTGTCTCAGAACAGAGCCTCGTGCACTGGGCGTGGCGATGGACTGAGCCTCCAGAGCTGGGACTGATCACGGCTACACCTCTTTGGGGAGATGGCAGAGGACCTGTGTTTTCTCCCACCTTTTTTGGGGGGTGGTGCCACGGGATGGTACCAGGGCCTCTAGCACACTCGGCAAGCGCTGTGCCACTGAGCTCTGTTTACAGCCCTTCTCCCACCTTTGACACCATGGGGACAGGAGAGGTTGGCCTGGAGGATCAGGAGGAGGCTCACTGTCCTGGGCATGAGGTGGGCTGTTAAGCTGTTTTTGGAAATAGAAGAGTCACATGAGGGACATCTACCAATAGTAAAGCCAGTTGATTTTCTGTAAGTGATAACAGAGCAGGGGTCGGTGGCTGGATAAATGAGGGACATCACAGGGGCCAGCTGGGTTCCTGGGGCCAGGAGTCTAAAGTGACCCTTTACTCCCTCGGTGGCTTTCTGTCATCTTTGGTGACTGTGACCACAGGACTCCCTTCTTCTCAGTGCGAGTGTGGTGCTGTGTTCTCTTTCTGTGGGGGAATACCTTCCATGGAGTCTGCGGTCCTCAGTCTCTCCCCCAGCCTGACCTGACCCCAAGGTGGAGCTCTGTGTCCCTGGGCCACTGGCCTTCCTCTGGGAAGCCCCCCTTACAGACTCACCTTGAAGCCTGAGCAAGGCTCTTGAGTGGGATTCATGCTCCTGGCATGAACTCTGCGAGCAGTTACGAGTCACACTTTGTGATATCTGTCCCTCTTATCACAGCATCATGAACCCTGCCTGTCTCCTGCCTGCCCCAGCCGTTCCCCTGCCCAGAGACCATGCTTTCCCGCAGAGGCTAGGCTTACAAGGGGAACCCAGCACACTCAACCTTGGTACCAGTGATATTCCCACACACAAAGGACAGGACCTTTCTGCCTGTTTGGCTACCCTACCTAGCACAGTCAAATGGTTTCCAGTTTTAAGATTTTCATTTTGCTGACGGTGTTATCAGAATGATTATTTGCCATGTAAAATTTTCAATGAGGTCTTCTTTGGTCTATCAAGTATTTTTTTGTTGTTGTTGTTCATATCAACCAGGAACCACATCTGCAATTAGAAATTTGCTTTTATGGATATTTTATCTACCAAATCTAAGTACTGTCAATCAAATTTTGTAAACATAAATTTTCTCAGAAAGGTTTGTTACTTCTGTCAGTTTTTAATCAACATCAAAAATTTAAGTGACATTTTAGTTTTGTTTGACCTTTTTACTACTAATATTTATCATGAATCAGATAAAATGATTTGGCCGAGCAAGGTGACACTCACATGTAAGCCTAGCGGCTCAGGAGGTGAAGGCAGGAAGATCTCAAGTTCAAGGCCAGCCTCAGCAACTTAGCGAGGCCCTGAACAACTTAGCAAGACCGTGTCTCAAAATAAAAAATAGAAAGAACTTCAGGTGTGGCTCACTGGTAGAGCATGCCTGGGTTCAATTTCCAGTACCGTATCCACCCACACCTACCCCCCCCCACACACACAGGAAGCAGTTGGCATGTCGTCTTCAGCTGTTAGGGTTGCTGCCTTGTGAAGGGTCTCCTTTGCTCAGTGGTTCCGGGGCCACACCCTGGGCTTTGGCTGTGGGGGTTCTGCAGCTCCCCCTGCTGGTGGAGCAAAGAGCAAGTGCAGGGCCAGAACATCTTGCTTGGCTCCAAATGCAGCAATATTCTGGGTGAGAAAATGGGGCATTTTTTTTTAAAAAGCACCCTTGCCTCCCCTCCTCCAGCACCCACCTCCTCTCCTTCCTCTCGGTTCTTGAAACTTTTCGGCCGTCTCTTGTCTGGTTCGGCATTTTTTTTCAGGCCATCTCCACGCCACTCCTCCCCAGGCTCTTCTGCCTTGCTTGGCCTTTCCTCCTCTCTCCCACTCCTGGCCGGGCTCACTCATTGTCCCCACGCTGCTCCGCTGAGACATGTGGCTGTGCTTTCCCTCTCTCTCGGTGGTGCCCCTCGCCCCTCCCCCACTCATTCCTCCAGTCCTTATCTGAGTCCTCAATGTCATGATCATAAAGGAGCAGAGACACTCCTGCCCCTGCCGCTCTGCGTCCCCCGGGATGGAGACGAGAGACTGTGAACTTGTGCTCCTTGGAAGGCCTTAAAAGCAGCACTAAGGGTAGCCTCCTCGTGGGGGCTTGATTTTGCCGATGTCTGAAGACAGAGGGATGGATGAGGTGATCTCAGGAGGGCTCTGCCGGGTCCAGAACTGGGAGCCTCCTCTCAGTCACCATCAGCTTAGATTTATGGGCCGTCCCTTGGGTGCTTGGTGCTGTACAGAAGGGTTCCATCCTTCAAGCCTGAAATCCAGTTGCTGCCTTTTTAGCACTGTTTAAGATCATCTTACTGGGCTGAGTTTTTATGAGCTTTCATCCTTCGTTCTGTTATTATTGAATACAAGGTATGTTTTAAGAATCAAAGTCCGAGGGTTTAATGATGCTGTGGGATTGTCCTTCACTGTTTTCAGCACCCAGTAGGTTCCTGGGATCCTGTGGGCTTCCTCTGTGAATGTGAGGGAGGCCGGAGGCCAGCTGGGCAGTGGGTAGGGTATTCATGGGTGCGTCTGATGGCATTGGAGCTGAGATGATGGAGAGCCGTGGCAGAGGAAGCAGCGGAGATGGAAAGAGAGATGGAGAGGGGTGAGCACACACCTGGATGCTGGATATCGTTTCTCTTATTTAGCTGACTATTGAGTACCTACTCGGTGCAGATCATTGTAAGATGCTCATGATACAGTGAATAAAACATCAGAATTCCTCAAAGCTCATATTCTAATAGGGAGTGGCAGCCAGAGGGGTGGATGAATAAAGGTGGTGGCATGTACCATAGTGACAGGTAGGTCACAGAGGGGAGATCAGAATGTCAGGGGTCCGAATCCTAAGGGAATGTTCAGGAAGCTCTCACTGGAGGAGCAGGGAAGCAGCCAGTGCTGAGATCCAGGAGGATGGAACCCAGCGAGGAGAAGAGGACACTGATGGTCTAGATGGTGGTGACTTGGACCAGAGGCAACAGGGAGGAGAGGCCCAGCTCTGGGCATATTTGAAAGGTGGATTTGTGAGTGGATGTGCTTCATGAGAGGAGTGAAGGGCAGCTGCAGATCCGGTTTGAAGGCAGGAGGATGGAGTTCCACAGAGATGAGGAGGACTGAGTTGTGTGGGAATGGACAGTAGTGCGGGGAAGAGCCTTCAGTGAGAGGAAGGAGGGAACCCAGGCTGAAGATCTCACAGGAAGGAAAACAGGTGGCCAGCGAGGAGACGAGGTGGGTGTTGGGAAGCCTGTGGCCGGTGGCCAGCACCCCCACCACATCAGGGCAGGGCTCCGGAAATGCAGGGCTGAGCCTGAACTGTGGCTGGTCAACTCGGGAACGGGACAAAGGGGAGGAAGGGAGGAGGCAAAGCAGGTTGGGGTGTGTGGTAGTAACAGGGCCAGATGATCCTGGCCTCTAGGGAGAATGTCACCGTGGCCCTCGAGCAGCAGGTGTGCACATCAGCAGCAAGGGATCAGCAGGTCAGCTCTGGAAGCTTCTGGGCCTCAGGCAGGTGGGGAGGGACCACACCCAGGACCAGCTCTGCCTGCCAGCAGGTGTCTGGGCAGTGTCCCTGCCCCGCATGGCACCCTGGGTTTAGCCAAGCTGCATTCTGAACTCCAAGCAGGCTTGGAGGGTGTGTGTGGTGGCATCCCGAGTGCCCACCTTCACGTGGCTCTCAGGTCGTCCATGTGCCTTCTTCTTCCCTAGCGGATGATCGTCTTTTGACTTTCTGTTGTTGGGCAGAAAATGAGGGAGTTTGGGAAACTCAAACACTGACAACGTTCATTGTAGTCCTGACGAGCACATCAGTGGGTAGATTAAAACCAAAGGTGGAATCCGATTTCAGAATCAGGTGTGGATTAAATGTTTGTATGTCTGTGATCATAAATAGTCGCTCATCTGCTAAATGAGTCAGAATTCTTTCTGCACAGTTCCTTCCTTGTTTTTCCCGTTTTACTTCTGTCCCCACATTCCCTCCAGCCCTCGGCCAGTGTCAGGCTCTGGTCCTGGGGATTCTGGGCTTGAGCAGGAGCTGCTGTCTGCATTGGCCAGGAGAGAGGGGAGGTGGGAGAGCAATTCAGGATAAGGACCACAAGGGGATGGGGCTGAGTCACAAGGAGGAAGGTTGGGCACAGAGAAGGGAATGGCATGTGGCTGGGAGCCCCTGTCCTGGCTGGGCAGTCTGGATAGGGATCGGGAAGGGGGCTTGAGACCTCCAGTTCCCAGGGCTTTGAGTGTCTTGGACCCATATTTAAGGAGGGCGTGGGGAGGAGCAGATAAGCCTGAAGATCTGGCCAGAGGTGTGTGAGGGTCTGTGACCTAGCTCTGCACAGAGGGAAATTTGGGGACCGTTCCTGCCAGCTAGGTGGGATGAGTACTCCTGGGGGAGCAGCAGGCTCTTCTCCTCCCACATTGGAAACCCAAGCCAGTGTCCCCCTGCTTTGTCCTAGGGCCTGGTGTAGGAGGTCACTGGGCCCTTGGTCCTGGGCTTGGAGAGTTGGGTTACTGGTATAGAGGGAATGAGATGGGTGGCGGGAAAGCCCGGGGGCTACTGTCCACTCCATTGCCTGCCCCCCTTTCTGTGATGACATCGAGCTGGTTAATACCTTTCTTCCCGTTGTCTCCCCTAACCCTCTTCCCGCTCCCCACCTGGATGTGCCTGTCCCTTCTCCTGCCACCTCTTCCTTTCCATGCCTCCTGTTTCTTGCCGCTGCCCCCCCATTCCTGGCCGCGTTCCGTTGCCCCTTCCACCCTGTCTTCCCTGCCTGCTCCCTCCCCATCCATCGGTTTCTCGCTCCCCACAGCAGAGGGGAAGGTGTACAGCTCAGACGAGGAGAAGCTGGAGGCCCCAGCGGGAGACCCAGCAGGCAGCGAGCAGGAGGAGGAGGGCTCAGGCGGTGACAGCGAGGACGACAGTTTCCTGGACAGTTCTGCAGGGGGCCCTGGGGCTCTTCTGGGACCTAAACCGAAGCTAAAGGGAAGCCTGGGGACTGGAGCTGAGGAGGGGACACCGGTGACCACGGGGGTCAGCGCCCCGGGGGGGAAAAGCCGCCGGCGCCGCACGGCCTTCACCAGCGAGCAGCTCCTGGAACTGGAGAAGGAGTTCCACTGCAAGAAGTATCTGAGCCTGACAGAGCGCTCCCAGATCGCCCACGCCCTCAAGCTCAGCGAGGTGCAGGTCAAGATCTGGTTCCAGAACCGCCGGGCCAAGTGGAAGCGCATCAAAGCCGGCAACGTGAGCAGCCGTTCCGGGGAGCCTGTCAGGAACCCCAAGATCGTCGTGCCCATACCCGTGCACGTCAACAGGTTCGCTGTGCGCAGCCAACACCAGCAAATGGAGCAGGGGGCCCGGCCCTGACCCGAGCAAGGACTGCGGCTGGGCTGTGCCCACAGGAGGGACCGCAGCGGGGAGAGGCCCACGGTGCTCCCCGCCCTGAGACCAGAGACCTTCAGGATGAGGGGCTTCAGGGCCACAGGGGCTCCGGGTCTACTCGCCAGGGAGGTGCTGGGACTGGGGTGGACTCCTCAGGCCCATGGGGCTTTTAATGCTCGAGGCCTGAAGGGTTCTGTGGCTGACGTCCGGGAACAGCTTCTGACCAAATGGAGGAGCCCAGGGCCACACCAGCCCAGATGATGGCAGCTCCTTATTTATTTTATGTAAAGTTTGTATATACGGAGCTGGGTCTCTGTCTGCACTCCTAAGAAGCTTCGGGAAAGGTCTGTCTCATTGAGCCTCAGCCAGAGTTCATTCCATCCTGCACTTGGCCGGCCGTGGGCAGCGTCTCTTCAGTGCAAGGTGTGGGAAGAGATGGCTGGAACCACCAGCAGTCTCCAGGGGACCACGGCTCCCCTCACCCCTGCCTCCCGCTTGGCCCTGCTCCCACGTACACCCCTCACCTCCCGCTACAGCCACTGTTCCTCTTCCAGGTAAACAGGCCTCTTTGGAAGAGGTGGCCGACTCCAGGGGGTGAGACTCACTCCCATTTGTATTAAAGCTAAATGACGGCACCTGACCCTCAATGGCTGGTGTGTATTGGAGCCAGCTAACTGGCTAGAGGTCGCCAGTCCAGTCAGTGACAGGGGCAGGGTGGGGCTCGCTCACACTACCTTTGGGTACAGAGGACACACCAACCGAGTGGCCTCTGCTGCCCTTTGTATTTCAGATGCGAGGGCCCAGGGAGGGAGGACTCGTCTCTGGAGCCGTTTCCGAAGCTTCAGGTACTGCAGCCTCTTCTGCTACAGAACAAGGTGGGCACAGAGGAGTCACTGCCAAATGGAGGGGACAGGAGCCAGTCTGTGATGGTTCTGGAAAGGTGTGTGCCGTGGGGAAGACCAGAGCGAGGCTGTGGGATTGGAAGGGACGGTGTTGGTGGATAAAGCAAACACCCGAGCTACACCCTCCAGACACACTGCGCTGACTGCAGGCAGAGGGACGGTTAGGGAGACCGGCTGAGGCCGGTTCACGGCAGGCCAGCTGCTTGGGAAGAACTTGGCCGTCTTGGTGGAGAGGAGAGCTAGTGTGAACAGGCCATGGAGAAGACAAACAGCAGGGTCAGAGGGAAGCCAAACGCCCCACCAACCCCCGTACCCTCCTCATAGGACCAACGATTGTTCCTGGAATGACAAATCAGTCAATGTCTCATTGACTCGTCTTGTGGCTCGACTGGGGTTGCCCTTCCTGAGCAGCCTGTTTCTCCCAAAGCAAGCAGCTGGGAGCTGCGACTGGTCAGTGACGATAGAAAGGTCTACCGTTGAGTGAGGACCCCTAGGCCCAGGCTGTCTGTGCCCCTCGGCTAAGTTTCAGCTGGGCTTCTGATTACAGCTTAAAGTATGAAGTCCAGACCTGCCGGGTCCCTGGCCTGACCTGCCAAGGCTAAGTCCCCCTGGTTCCTTAGACTCACCCTGCTCAGGGAACCAACAGGATTAGGTTGTGTTGAGGAGATAAGTCAGTCAGAGGTTGACAAGGACAGCGCTGTCCCTTCAGCAGAGTTGGGGCAGAGGCTCTAGCTCCACGCCCAGTGTGGAGGGCAAGTGAGCACTGAGCAGAAAGGCCGGAGGGACCAGCCACCACCAAGGATGCTGTGCGTCTCCCCTGGCTCTGTGCCTGGCTGAGCAGGGTCCCGCCGGCCGAGCGGCTTGTCTTGAGGGAGTCTGGAGGTGACCGCTGCTAGTTTCCCAAGTCCAGGAACCCAGTCCCACACACCATGGCCCTGGCTCTTCTGCCCTGATCTACGTGCAAGGCTCTTAACAGTCTTGCAAAAGGGGGCGTGGACAAAGAAATAAAACCTGGTTTCCTCTCTGAGTAGCGTTACTTGGTTATTTACTACATGTAGGCAGGTGCCCACGCAGGGCACCAGCCAGCACACCTGCCATGGACGCAAGAGGCTTCAGGAAACATGGGCTGCCAGCAGTGGTTTCAGGAACGGGGAACAACAGGCTCCTGAGAGCTGGGACCTGAACTTAGCCAGTTCTTGTCCTTCAAGAGCCAGTACAGTTGCCCCTGGATCCCTGGAGAAGAGGGATATGCTGAGAAAGAAAGGCAGGGGCTCCTGTCCTGCCCCCAGCCAGGCAAGCTGCTGGTGGGCGTCCAGGTGGCTGCTCTGCCACCCCCTCCCCTTTGCTCACAAGCAAAGCCCAGGCCCCTGTGGCATCAGCTCTAAGGTCCTGGCACATTCTCAGACTCCCAGGGAGGGGCATGCTCCTGCCCTCTGGTACACTGTGGCCAGGGCCGGGTTGTGGCGTGCCGTCACTAGGTAGGACACTGATGTCAGAGACCACTGGAAAGCTTCCTGGGGTGGTGGGGGCAGGGGTGCGGTGAAGGCAGCACCCGAGGGGAAGAAGGGCCGCTCGGTCCCATCAGGTTCCCTGTGCTGCCCACCAACAGCTACACCGCTGCGGGAGAGCGAGAGAATCTGATGCAAGGCTGCGGCTGAGGGAAGGAAGCCTGGGGTCTGGCTGACAGGGAGGGAGAAAGCCTTAGAACAGAGACAGCAAAAATGAGCAGAGGTGAGGGGCACTCCCAGACGGGAGGAGTGTGAAGGAGAAGCAGGGCCACACACGTCTGGTTTATTGGCTCCTCATACACGCTCACCAAGTATGTACACAAACATAAATATTCCAATGTACAAATTTTACATGGGACTCACAGATCACCCTCTTGTCTCTTTCATCCAGCACCCCCATCCTGTGCCCTGTGCTTGTGGGGGCTGGCACTAGGAGGCAGGGGTCTGGAGGAGGGAGAGGTCCCGCCCCCCTCTCCTCACAGGCACCTCCAAAGGGTCCGTCCCTTCTCAGTGGCCCTGCAGGGCAGAGGGCTGAGCACCGTGCTCCCTCCCTCTGCTGCAGCTCGAACCCCAGACCTCTCCTCGGATCCCTTTGACTTCTCCCTCCTCTCATCCTGGCTGCGTGTCCCTGCTTCTCTGGCTCTGTGCCCGCTTCCCCCAGTGCCTGCAGGGAGGAGGGTCTCAAGCCACGAAGTCCTTCTGGCCTCTTTGCCTTCTTCCTGGGCCTCACAGGAGGCTGGGGCTGCGGTGCAGCTCAGCAGAGGCGTTGGTACCGTTGGCCGGCTCTCTGTTGGGGGTGGGTGCTAAGCCACAGCCCTCCCCAGGGCAGCCGTGCTGGATCAAGATGTCTGCACACTCCTGGCTGCCGGCCCGGCGGGCATAGGCCAGTGGGGTCAGGCCCCGCGCGTCCCGGCTCCTCACGTCCACCCCGTACTGCCGGAGGAAACACGTTCACATGACGTTGGCATGACGGGGCAGGAAAGTTTGGGGGGCTGTTGAAGGTTGGGGCAAAAAGGCCAGGGTAGGTCGGCGGCGCCCCCCACTCACCCAAATCAGCAGTTGTGTGAAGACTACATTGGCCATGGCACTGGACAGGTGCAGAGCCGTCCTCCCGTCCCCGTCCCCGTACGTCTCGTTCACCTCCTCCTTGGACCCGTGGGCCAGCAGCATCACCAGCAGCCTCAGGTCATCCTCCACCACGGCCCGGAGCAGCTGCTGCCCCAGTGGCACATCTGAGCTCGGCAGCGGGGCCAGGAAGAGCCTCTGCTCGTACTTGGCCCGGATCCAGCGCTCCTTCTCCTCTCTGCAAGCACAGGTCCGTCAAAGCATGAGCCACCGAAGGGAACCGAGCCTTCGGGGGCTGTAGGTGGCTGAGAAGGCGTGGAGCACCCAGGTGGGGGACAGGGAGGCCGGGAACGAGGTGCATGAGAGTGTGGAGGAGAGGGAAGCCCCAGAGACGCCAGGCATTCAGGGGCAGCGGGGAATGTAAAAGGAGGGCATAAGTGAAAAGAAGGGACACTGAAGGGAAGCCCCAGGGGGCAGCAGGGACATGGGGCCGAGAGGGCAGGAAGAATCCAGGCAGGCCCGAGCAGCAGCAGCTTATCTGGTCATCTGTACTCTCTCCCATTGGCAGTGCTAGAACAAAGCGGGTGGCCCATGCGGGGGCCACAGCGACCCTATCTACCACCCATTCTCCCCATCTCACAGCGCAGGCCAGGGCCTTGCACCACACTGCGATAGGAGCCCTGCGCATGCGCCTCCTGCTGGCCCCCTGACCTGCTGATAACGGCTCAGAAAGGGCCTGTTGTTGTGAGGCGCCTGAGTGACAGGCGCCGAGGGGGAGGGGCACCCAAGGGGCCAACTGCCAGGCAGAGCAATGGCTAGTTTAACCCTTCTAACACTGTCACAGCCGCTGGGCACTATCCCCAGCATATCTTCCCCACACTGGGAGCGCCAGTTGTCCCCCATCCTGGCCAGCGTCAGGGCCCCATCTGCTCACCTGCAGGCTTCAGGCCCTGGCTTTGCATAGCCATCCAGGGCCCCCTCCCAGACGCTGTTGGCCAGTGCATTGCCCATCGCAGTCATGACAGCCAGCAGCTCAGGTGGCCAGTCGTCGAGGTCCAGGGAGCGGACCCGGGACAGGTGAGCCCCCAGGTGCCGGTGGATTCCTGAGCACTCGATGCACATCAGGGCGCCCAGGTTCAGGCTGGCCCAGTCGGGGTCTAGGCGAGGAGAGGACAATAATATGGCAAGGGTGACCAGAGAGGGGACACGGGGAAGGCCCCCTGCCACCTCTGCAGCTGCAGCCCCCCCCCCCCCGGGGCCACTGCCGGGACACTCACTGGGGGCGTCGCAGTCAATGCAGAAGCCGTTGCCTCGCACCGTGCGCACGGCCTGCACCGCGAGGGCTGCGTTCTGGTTCCCCAGGCGGGTCTGCCCCAGGAGGGAGACAGGACTCAGTCAGCCACAGCACCATCTCCCCGCCAGGCACTCGGGGTGGCCGCCCCCCTGCCCACCTTGTCCTTGGCGCTGCGGCAGCCCTGCAGGCTGGCCAGGATCTGGGCCTGTACACTCTGCACCCACAGCTCCCTCTCCTCCGCCGTTGAGGCCTCGAAGTGCCACGTCTGCCCGGTGAGGGACACCACCACAAACTCAAAGGACTCCTCTGCCTCTGTGGGGGAGGGCAGTCACGTCAGGGCACCCGGTGGCACAGCTCCACTCACTGCTCCACCTGCACTCGTCCTCCTCCCCAGCCGTGTCCACCGGCCCCAGGGCACACGCTCCAGGACCACTGGCAGGTGACCTCGCAAGACTAGTGCAAGCTCCTAGCCACCTGTGGAGCCTCGGGCAGTGGGGTGCAAGTTCTTGGCTTCCCCAGCACTGCCACGTGTGGTCTGGACCAGAGAGGGGCACTTGGAGAAAGCCGGGCCCAGCATCTGGAGAAGGCTACGACGGGCGCTGGAAGGCGAGTGTGGCGCGGGAGGCGGTGGTGGGCACCATTTGTACATGTCAGCTGCAGCCGCCTCATTTTGCAGCTCATTAAACCCAATATTCCTGACGGCGTCAGCGTGGGGCTCTTGGGAGTGGGGCCCCTCCCCCACTGCCCTGGCACAGACAGGCAGGAAGGGCAAATGGGGGGAGATGGTTTCTCCAGGAACTGTAGGATGTGAGCCAATCGGGACCTGAGGACATCTGTAGTGACAAGTGCTGGGGCTGGACTGTGACCCCAAGCACTGCGATGATGCTCTTCCAAGCTGTGCTCCGAGCCCTGGAGGACAGCCACATGGATCTCATTCCCAGAGGCCCCTGCCCTCGAGGTGGCAGTGTGACTTGTGCTGGGGCTGCAGAGACAGCATGTAAACTGGTGGTAGGCCCAGGGCTGTCTCACCCAAGTCCTCACTGCACCTCTGCCCGGCAGCCTCTCCTCAGTGCCATCTGGGCCCTGGAAGTCCTCCTCCGCTGGGCCCCTGCTCTCAGGACCCTTAACAGAACCAACCGCCTTGCCACATGATAAACGCAGCGCCTTTCTCTCCCCAGGCACCAGTCTCGCGCCCCACCTAGCTCTTGCAGCAGCCTCTGGCTCCCCCAGCGCTTGTGGGCTCTGGTTCCTGGACCATAGCGGACACCTGTGCCATGGTGGCTAGGTATCACTGTGTGTCCCAGGCTGGCTGCAAAAGGGCAGCCATCTCCACCCACCTGACCCACACCCCTAACCCTAGAGTCAGAACAGAAATAAGCAACTGAGTCCACAGAAGTCACTTGGGAGCCAAGAGACTCCAGTCACGGAGAAGGGGGAGGTTGGAAGAGTCGGGGGCAGGAGCAGCACTGTTCTTAAGAGACTGAGAGGAAATTGGTCAAGGACTGGGGCTCTTTGGCTCAGGAGAACTCAGCTGACCCAGGCACAAATGCGAAGCACTCACAATACTTGTGGGTGATACAAGAAACACAGAAAGCAAGTCCCTCCTGGCAACTCTTGGAGGAGCTACATAGCAGCTCGCTGTCTCTGACTTTAAGAATGACAGAAGGGCTGGGCACAGTAATCCCAGCCACTCAGGTGGTCGAGGCAGGAGGATTGCAAGTCTGAGGCCAATCTGGGCGATTTAGCAAGGCCCCATCTCAAAATACAGAAGAGCTGGCTCAGTGATGATGCACCCCTACCTTCAATTCCCAGTATCACAAAGAGAAGGGGGTGGGAAGAGGACAGAAGCTCCCAGCTGTTTCAGGGAGAGGAAATAGGACGTTTCCCAAAATCCTGGGTCCAAATTATCGAAAGAGGTTATGGAGTCACTTCTACCTATTATTCCTAGAAAGTGCGGCATCCACCGATCTGGAAAAACCAGCCTGACTTCTGGAGTACTGTGCCCAGACCCCACTGCCCACCTCCTAGGCCCACTCTCCCTCTGGGTCCCCCTAACCTTCAGCAGCACTGCTGGGGCCGTCTGGTCGGGGGGTCCCGGTGCTCTTTTTCCGACGGTGCTTCTTCCGGTTGGAGTGGGGAGATGGGGGAGGCTCCAGCTTG